TATGTTCATTTTCATTTATTTCCAAGTAATTTTAAATTTTTTCCTCAATCTCATTGGTAACCTAGTCATTGTTCAATAACATGCTACTTAGCCTCCATGTGTTTGAGTGTTTTTAGTATGTGTTTTTTTATTATAGTTGATTTCCAGTTTCATGCCATTATGATCCCAGATGATGTTTGGTATGTTTTCCATGTTCTTGAATTTGTTAAGACTTATTTTGTGTCCTAACACATTAATCAGGCAAAAAGTACATTAAATATGTACAGTACTTGAAACCGTCCACCAGCAGGCTTAAGTTAAGAGACGAATGTAGAGTGTGTGTGTCCTACAAATAAATACACATGCTTCCCATAGACTTTACATAGAATTGATAGTGTTTTTGGTTACAAAAGGAAGGTTAATTGATTTTGTAAAGTAAATACCTTACCAGTATATTCTCTTGTTATAATATGATTATAATATGATAAAACTAGAAACCAATAGTGTATATGTGTTTGTGTATATATATATAAATTTCAGAGAGGAAGGGAGTGGGAGAGAGAGATAGAAACATCAATGAGGGGAGAGAATCATTGATCCACTGCTTCCTGCTCACCCCACACTGGGTATTGAGCCTGCAACCCGGGCATGTGAACCATGACCTCCTGGTTCATAGGTCAATTCTCAGCCACTGACCCACACTGGTAGGCAGTTTATATATTTTAAACAATTTTCTAAATAACTCTAGATGAAGGAAGTAATCAAAAGCAACATTATAGGTTATTTAGCTTACATTATGATTGAAATTTAAAATATAACAAAACTTGGAAGGTCATTAAGTATACTGAACAAACAGTGGGAAACCATTAAAACAGTGACAGGCTGGAAAGATGGACTGAATCTAACAAACATGAAATCTAACAGAATTATATTTAAGATTTTGCCAAAAGCAAAAAAGCCAATGGCAGAAGCACAAAGTGGGAAAGGTATGATTGAGTAGCACCATCTTTAAAACAAAAACCATCACACAACCATAAAGTTTAGAGCTTTTAGTTGACAAATGGGTCATACCAAGAAAAAGCATGTGATGTTAGGCTTCATGAGTAGATATGCAGCATTAAGAACAAGAGAGGCAATAGCCCAGCTCTAATCTGCACTGAATAGTCTTCATACACAGAGTACTTGGTTGGGGGCTCCATGATTTGAGAGAGCTAAATTAGAGGCCATTTTGCAAGGTATAAAGAGAATAGTGAGCAGACTTACCAAAACAAAACAAAAAAATCCATATGAGACATGATTCAAGGAAGTGGTGAGGCATGGCCTGAACCCAGGGCTATTCCTTGAAGTCTTAATGCTGTTTCAAATATATGAAAGGTTTTTATGGATAGGATGTTTATAATCATAGGAAGACACATTTCTATGAGCCAGAATATTCCAATGATGAAAGAGTTGCTTAGAGATCTAGCAAGTCCCCTATCACTGGAGCTGTTCTAATATAGTTTGGTTAAATACTTGGTGAGGATATTGTGGTAAGAATTTTAACACTGGAAAAATAGGTGGTTGGATCAGACAAACTTCCCAACCCTGAAATTCTTCATTTCCCCTGGAATTTAGTGTTCCCTCAAGATGGTCCACGGGTTTCTGAGTTTGGTACCCAAAGTCTTAAACATTAACATTTTGAGCACAGGGCCTGTGGGTGGCATAAATGTCTGATTGTTTATAACCGAATTAAAACAGCATTAACCCATATGAAACAGTTCTTCAGGACTTAAAAATTAAATGTCAAATAAAGACGTATGGTGTCCTAAGAGTTCAGAAAAGGAGGTCAGTGAGGGTTGGAATAGATGAGGAAACCTATTGGCTCACAGAGAAGATTTCAAAGTCTATGCTTGTATGCATCAAGCAATAAGAGTAGTTTTAGAAATCGTGGGAACAAAAATGAATATAATAAGCAAACAGAATTGGTTACCTTTTTCCTTTGGATGGAAGAATAAGGTGTGCCCATCTGAAACAACACACACTGTGCGCATAGATCTTTTCAGTGTCTCTCGCTATTATTGCTCTCACAGCTCCCTGCAGATGCAGGCTTTGGCTCTGCAGCTCCTACTTTCACACACCCTTGTCTCTAATGGATTGGTCTGACAGTGATTTTTATTGACTAAGCTTTGTATTCTTCATCTTCCTGATTGCCTCTGACCCTTACAATCCCAACAACCCTTTTACCCTTGAAACTAAGGCCCTCCTCCCCTTGGAGGAATGCCGGTCCTTGCCCTCCATAGCCCCTGATAATAATTACCATAATAAATAATCCCTACATTTATTTAGGACTTTGTAGTACCAAATGCTTTCCACACCTGCTCTCTTGTTTGACATTCATCATGACAGTGCTGGGAGAAATGCAGGGCAGGTGCTATCCTGGGATCTAAAGTCACTTGTCCAAGGTCACATGGAGGAAGTGAGCTGGCTCTGGGATGGGCCCCTAGGGCTCTGACTCCTGATCTGGCTTCTCGTGTGTCTGATCCAGGCTGGTCATGAGTCAGGGCGCATCCTCAAAAGTCATTCAGGCCTGAGCAGTCTCCCAGGAGGCCAGCCAAGCCAACACATTTCCAAAGGCCTGGTTCCATGTATCAGTCTGGTTGGGCCCAGGATCACGGATGCCCACCTGGACTCCCAACGCTTCTTTGTAGTGAACTCAGCCTGTGTGAGTGAGGGATGGGAGTACATACCTTTCAGAGGTGACATTTGCCTTCCCTCCAATTATATTTTTAGCAGTTTGCAAAATTACTTCATGACTAGCAAACTGACATGTGAGCACAAAAAACAAGCACAGAGTTTATTAATTTAATCAAATAAAACTTAGAGCAAAGTTAATGTAACACATTTAATGATAGTACAGAATTAATGCCTTGCATGGTTTCTAGGCATAAATGGTAAACGGTCTATATGAATGACTGTAATTAGTATTACTTTCACAGAGCCAAATTATTTTTTTAATTCTTCTCATCTCACTTTATTAGTTCTCCAGTATTTATATAGTTGAAATTGCTGTCTAAAGTTTTCCTTGACACCATTTGCCATCTAGCATCTGAATTTCTTCACGTACAAGAAGATAATTCCTGGGACCAAGAGAAGACCATTTTTTTTTGAAAGTTCTTTCGAACTGTATTCATTTCTGCTCCTGAAATGTTCCCATTTAACAGCAGGTGTTCTTGTTCCTTATTTCTCTGTAAGATTTTCTTGTATTGTCATGGGTTAGCTAAGAACAAAAGTAACCATCCAAAACACCTGTCATTTACCAAGAACAGATTTCTTACTCTTAGCAGAAAAGGTATTTGTTGCACCAGGATGTCAAACACAATGATAAACACAGGGCTGCAGCTCATGGAAGTCTTGGAGAGCTGTCACCTTTTACTGAGCACATCTTGGGACCATTGCTGTACTCACTCAAAGTCAGGTTTCTGGTCTTGGATGTACAGCTAAGAAAGGGAACTCAAAGGCTGGTGCTCTAATGAGTGACCTTGACCATGGAGATTCACACCAGTTCTTTTTTCTGCATCTGTTTTGTGGTTTCTGTAGAATTAAAAGGATGCCAATCAAAATGGCTCCTTAGTCATTGCTCAGTCTGTGCAAGTGACAGGTAGCAAGAGAGGAAGGGGCAGTGAGTGGGCTGTGGTGCAATCATAGGCAGCTGGGACAGCTGACACTGGATTAGAGTCCCAAGTGGACATAAGGAGGTAGGGGTTAAAACGATGAAAGGCTCAGGGGAATAAATACATACCCATCCTTGATGTTTTCTTCAGAAATCTCCCCAGAACCTCTTAGAACTGAGACTAGGACTGTTTCCTCAATTATTAAAGTCTTCTTACTTGAATTAAGGGTAGAGGGGCTTGCTATCATTTGAGTTTAGGATGACAAGTGCCAAAACTTGCAAGATGTGTGTGTGTTACATGCTCAAAACAGACCTTGAGAGCTGTGACCTCAGCCTGTTCACTGGAGCCTGGAGTTCCTTTAATAGGAGAGAAAGAGGGCAGAGAGCAGGGGCAGAGAGGGGACCTGTCAATGCAGGTCAGAGAAAAGGTATAGAAACAGGATACCCTGGGAATGTTTGTGCGCAGTGTGATAACTTCCAGTCTCAGTTCAAATGCTAATACCTGATCCTTCCTGTTTGAATTTGGGGGCATTTGGAGGAGGATCTATTACTGGGCAAAAATGAGGAACAACCCCAGGGTGACTTACAAACCTTGTCCTCACAGCCTCTTTTGTTTTCATCTGTGTAGGAGCCCATGAGCTTCCTTCATGTCCTGTGGGGCTCTTCTGAGTGGGGGAAGATGATGAGGGTGGGGATGAGGACATCTCATTATAACTCCAGCCTTTGCCAGCCTCACAGTCTCATACTGTCTGCCTGTGGCCCCATGCCTAGAGGGCATGAACACCTGGGCAGATGTGGCCCCTTCTTTTGCAGGGGGTGTAGTGGTGGTGGTTGTCATTATCATGCAGTCTTTTGAGCTCTTATGAGAAGTATGTATCCCACAAACTTTAGCACACAATTCTAGGAGAGCCCTCTGATGGTGCAGTTCAGATGGTGCTGATGTAGCCAGTAGAGAGAATGCATCTAATGTGGGAATGACATAGACCAAGAAGCCGAACAGGAAAGAAGCCCACACAACTTTATGCAGTCTACAAACAGGGGGGTCAGCAGGCAGGAGGCAGGGTGAGTGTAGCAGAGGCCAGGGAATTGTGTTAAATAAAGCTGATAGAGCCAGGGCAGCTTCGCTGAGGAGCATGTGCATGACCGGGAGTGATGGTCTGAAGGAAGAAGAGGAGAGGGTCCTGCTGGCCTCTGTAGTCAGCTGATCCTGAGGACCTGATCCTGCAGCTCAGACTGACCTGACCTATACAGTGTCACCCCACCACCCACAGATCCAGTGGGGTTCTGGTGCCCAAGCTCTAGGACTTGCTTCTGTGGGATAAAAGAATTTCAGTGTCGGCCTCATCAGACTGTCCTTTTGCCATCTTTGCAGGAAAATTGCTGCTTATGATGAAGAAATCCAGCATCTCTATGAGGAGATGGAGCAGCAAATCAAAAGTGAGAAGGAGCGGTTTCTCTTGAAGGTAAAAGTCACTTCGGGGGCTTGGTTCTGCGGGCCAGGTTGATCTTGCCTACTCTGACTACCTCCCCCAAGTTAAGATTGCAATGCCTCACCCATGGCACTACTGATTCCCCTTTTCTCTGCTTGATTTATAATTATTTCACGACATTTGTCACCTTTGAATATAGCATATAATGTACTTGTTTACTTTTATTGATGGTGATCTGTCTGCTCCCACTAACATGTAAGCTCCACGAGAGCAGGGATCTTTAACTTTATACCTAACATATCCTTAGCACCTTGGCCATGCCTGGGACGTAGTAGGTACTCAACAATTGTTTGTTGGTTCAATGAGTAAATGAACGAGTGAATGAATAAATGAATGAAAGGATGAAAGTGCATGCTTTACCAGTTTAAGCATCCTGAAGACTGAATCTGACACTTGCTCTAGTCTAGACCCGTATGGTAGGCCCACCCAAATGCACCAGCTCACTCCACTCCATAAGGGGACCATCCTTGGAGCGTGTACATCCCACCCTTTTCCCTTAGACACCTAGAAAATTTAATACCCAAGACAAATGAAATCCTACCTTTCTCAGATACCATGGGAGGAAATTTAAAACTCACATTTCCTATTCCTAGTCTGGCACTTAGCCTCCTACGTAGCCTTGCTATTTGTTTTGGGAGGTCAGAACTGGTAAAATCATCACCTTTTCCAGGCTAAGCTAAGCATATCCATATTCATAAAACAAAGCTATAGGAAACTCTGTTATCCATTTTTGGATTATCTACTTGGTGGGTTCTCAGTAGAAGAGTTTTGATCTTGAACAGTGACCTCCTGTCTTAGTCAGTTGGGGTTGCTATTACAAAAATACCATAAAAGGGTTGGCTTACAAACAACAAACATTTACTTTTCACCGTCTGGAGGCTAGAAGTCCAAGATCAGGGAATTCAGGTCCTGGTGAGAGCCTTATTCTGGGTCGCAGACTGCAACTACTCTTTGTCTCCTCACATGGCAGAAGGGCAAGCAAGCTGTCCAGGGTCTCTTTTATAAGAGCACTAGTCACCTCCCAAAGGCCCCACCTTTTAATACCATCACGTTGGGGGTTAGGTGACAGCATATAAATTTTTGGGGACACACTACAGAGACCACATCATCCCTGGCCTCTCAGCACTGGGGCTGTTGTCACAATGTCTTTTTCCCCTGCTAATGTGGCTGGTTTGAACCATTTTTTAGTTGTATGCAGCTTTGATCATCCAAACCACATCTTCATTTATTATCACAGATGTCATTGAAATGGAGAAGGAGTCTGGATGCCTTTCAGAAAAAGCCAGTCATGTTCTTTAACTAGAGCCTTATGGAGACTTGTCAGTTTCTCCAGACCTCCTCCCTGTTCCTTTTTAGAGCTTTAAAACTTTCTGCTGCCCCCCAACCTTCAGCATACGGAGTGAGTATATGGCAGACAGAACTCAAACTCTCTTCACCTAGCAGACCCTGAAATAGTCCTCTGAGAACAGCAGCCTTCCCCTACCCTGCAGTAGGAGAGCTACTTCCTTTACCCAAAATGGCCTACTGCTCAGAGGGGCTGAGCCCTGGGGCATTTGCCCCTCTGCCTGGGCCATGACAACAGACCAAAGTCCTGGCTAAAGAAAGGGGACCAGAAGCAAAAGTGGGCCAACACATGGGGATTGGGAGTGGGAAGAGGTCAGAGGGGAAAATTCAAGGACAAATTAGTATCACAAAGGTGATCTGACCATGCTTCTGCTTCACCCACTTGCCCCCTCCTGTCCCCTGCTTCTCAATAGCAAACACCTTTCAGACTCAGTGCTTAGATTTATGGTTTCTGCACAAGCATGGAAACTATCAGAAAGTGCTATGGCATGCTACTAAGCCTTGGATACGCACGCAGGCTTTTGCCGGGCCACAGTGTGAGCACAGTGGGGTTACAGTTGATGACAGCATGGAAAAGCAGGACCTTCTGGGGCTCTATGTTTAGCAGCTTGTTTGACCAAGAGGGAAATATTAGTCACTTGCACACCCAGCTCCAGGTATTAGACTCTCAAAGCTCTGTGCTGGCGGGGCAGTAAGACACTTGCAGGCCCTGGTGGAGATGGCAGCATCGCCATGGGGATCTGTAGCTGCTCCCCTCCCAGCACTGCCCACTGGTACCTGCCCCATGAGCAGCAGACAAGCCAAAGGAAGCAGGTTTCCTGTAACAGAAGTTGGGAGCAGGAACTGTCTCTTTAAATCTGCTTCTGCCATTACGTGTGGTTGAGATGAGGACAGTCACAGAGCTGTCCCTGAGCTGCAGTCACCTTCCTGAAAATGGGCAGAGGAATCAGGTAGCATCTACAAACAATGAGCCCAGGAAATACCTGAGCCCTGAACAGAGGTGTCCAAAGGCCTCTGCCCCAGAGCGGTCCTGTTTCCCGACTGTTGCACCGTCACATGCAACCTGCCAGCAGGACAGGCCGCCCTCCAGTGCAGCCTCCACGGCTGTCCTCCTCGGGAAGGCGTCGTTCCATGGGACGGGCAACCGGGGCTCCTACAGTGAGTTATATGGAGGTTATGGTGGTTTCTTCTCTTCCTGCATGGTTTGCGCCTCTGTTCTGCCTTCAGGCAAGTGGAAAGCTATAAGTGGCATGGGTATTTTTGTTTCTATTCTATGAACAAAGACTCCATGATCTAGAACAGGGGTCCTCAAACTTTTTAAACAGGGGGCCAGTTCACTGTCCCTCAGACCATTGGAGGGCCGGACTATAGTTTAAAAAAAACTATGAACAAATTCCTATGCACACTGCACTTTTCTTATTTTGAAGTAAAAAACAAAAACGGGGACAAATACAATATTTGTATTTGCATGTGGCCCGCGGGCCCTAGTTTGAGGACCCCTGATCTAGAAGAATGAGCAAGTTAGCTGGGCAAGGCCAGGCCTGGAACCCAAGTCTCTGGACGTCCAGCTCAGGGCCTTTACACCATTCCAGGCTCTGTTGAGAGTGTCAGGCATCCTGACAACCTACACACTTTCCTCTTTATCCCACAACCAGGTCTCTTTTGCTCTTGCATCATCAGGGACTCTGCATCCCTGAGTGGGAAGCTCAGTTCTAGGGCGGGAGGGAAGGTACATCAGGAGGAAGGGAAAATCTCCATCATGGTCAGAAAACAGTGAGGACCTAGACCCAAAAGAAATGATGCCCTGTGTTTCCAGAGTGATGGTCATTTAAGGGATCAAATGACAGGCCCAACGTGAAACAGAATATCCACATGGAAGGATAATCCACCTCCCAATTTACAGATGAGGAGACAGCCTGAGATTTGAGGTCAGGCCTGTTCTCTTCTCCCTGCTCAGTACTCCCCCACTTACTGACACTGCCTTTACAGGGGAAGGGGGGTACATCGTTGCCAGTCAAGCCACACCTAGCACTTGCACTCTCTGTATCTCACTGGGCCGCACCAACCAGCTGGCAGATCACCAAGGCCCTGGAATGCTATGGGGAGGCCCCAAAGTCCACCAGGATGGGCAGGCCCTGCTGTTGAGCAGGTTCAAGGTGGGAAAATGTCTCCATCCCAGGTGCATTTAGGCCTCACATGTCCCTCTCTCTGGCAGGACACAGAGCGCTTTCAGGCCCGCAGTCAGGAGCTGGAGCAGAAGCTGCTGTCTAAGGAGCAGGAGCTGGAGCAGCTCTCCCAGAAGCAGAAGCGGGTATGCTGTGTCCTCAGATGCCCGGCCCTCACTGCATCCTCTTCTCTGGCTCTGGCCCACTTTCCCTGCCATTCAGTTAAGGACTTCTCTCTTTTTCAATCTGAAAGAACCATTTAGTTGTACAAGAGAGCATTTGAAATCAGAGATGATCCCAAGATAAAGCCTTTGCTTCTCCAATGCCAGGTGTTTAACTTTGAGAATGTGCTAAGAATTCTCCCTTGACGTATCTGCAGACATTGCCGTATAATTGTGCCCAGGAGCCACCGAATGCCAAAATGTTCATTTGTCCCCTGCATGCTGTATAAGAGAGGATGGGAGTGCTGAGGTACAAGGGACACCGTCCCTGGTACTTTGGGGGCGGCTGCAGACAGCGCTGTCTGCCCGCCAGGATGGCCATGGAGCCTCCAGCGGGAAGAGGCTTTTCAAAGGTCAGATTTTCCATCCCCATCTCCCCCTGGACGTGGTTCATCACCTCCTTTATGACTGTTTCATCATCCTGCAGATGGATGCAGACACAGACGCTCCTCTGATGCACCTGAGCTCCCAGCAGGCAGGCTGGGTGCTGCACTGTGTCCATCCACTATGGCTGGGAAGGCCTGGCTAATGACCCCAGAAAGATTTATTACCTCGGCAAACCTCAGGCTCTGCCTCTTCTCCAAAGCCAGGGCTCATGGAGGGGAGAGAGTGTCACGTATCCTCCTGTTTTGTCTTGTGTTGGAAGGAATCCAGCCCTGGACAGACCCAGACACATTGCTGCAGTTTAAATAGAGAGGGCTATTTTTAGCAATGCATTAGAATGTGTTTGAAGACATCCCATGCTAAGGCTGCAGACTGCTCCACTCCTGCTGCTACCCCGTCTATGGATTTGGGTTTCTTTCCTCTGCAGTAAGATGGTTTCAACTCCAGGAACTGGCAGCTGCCTTTCCTTCCCCTTTCCACAGCCTTACCTTGACTTGCTTCTCCTACTCTTTCTCCTCCTCACTATTATGCATTAAGTCCTTACCAATTAGAGTTATCCCTCACATGAATGATTGCCACTCGATTTACTTACTGCATGCTTACCTGATTACACAAGAGCCTCCTGAGAATCACACAACATCCCTCATCATTTCTTCCTCCTCCCCTTACTGGCTACATTCATTAAACTAAATTTTTATAAACAGTTTGCCTTGGTTTGGTGCTTCCTCTAGTGAGAGGGTTGGAAGCTCTGCAAGGCATGACCACTAGCCAAGAAAAGCTGAAGTCATTCAAAGGCAGGTTTTTAGTTGCTTTAGGAACATGTTTGGTTTGACCTGTTTTAGCTATTTCTTAGAAATTTTCAGTGTTTCTGGCTACCATTCAAAGCTTCTGTAGATTAAAGGAATTGGACTTACACAGCTGAGAGAAGGAGGTAATAGATAGATTTATCTCAGTATTCAAAATTGGGAGGGAGGTTTTATGAGGATGCCCCTTACTTAGTGTTCTCCATTCCATTGATGGCCAAGGAGAAGAAACTGGCTTAAAGGACAACAAGAAGGATTTACTTTAGCTCTTAAGTCCATTGATGGGATGATGGTAATTATCATTGATATAAGAGTCGAATATCCAAAGAAGCTAGAAACACCAGTCAGAAAGGACATATGCACCCCTATGTTCATAGCAGCACAATTCACCATAGCTAAGATTTGGAAACAGCCTAAGTGCCCATCAGCAGATGAGTGGATTAAAAAACTGTGGTACATCTACATGATGGAATACTACATTGCGGTAAAAAAGAAGAAATTCTTGCCATTTGCAACAGCATGGATGGAACTGGAGAGTATTATGCTAAGTGAAATAAGCCAGTCAGAGAAAGATAAATACCACATGATCTCACTCATTTGTGGAATATAATGAACAACATAGACTGATGAACAGGGACAGATCCAGAGACAGAGAAGCAGCGATCAGACTGACAAACCTCAGGGGAAAGTAGGGGAGGGTGGGGGTAAGGGGGAGAGATCAACCAAAGGACTTGTATGCATGCATATAAGCCCAACCAATGGACACAGACAACAGGGGGATGAGAGCATGAGTGTGTGTGTGTGAGGGGGAGGGGGGAGTTGAGGGTTAATGGGAAAATGAGGACACATATGTAATACCTTAACCAATAAAGAAAAAAAAAAGATTAAAAAAAAGAGTCGAAGATGGATGTGGAATTTCCTTTTCTCGTAGCCCTATGGAAACAAGGGAGAGCTGAGATTGTTCTGGAAGCTCCTCCTGCTTCCTGAAGTGTATACATGTGAATGAAGGAACAGGACAAAGTTTGAGGGCAGTGAGGGGTACAGTGATGGTTCCTGCTAGATGAGGCTGGGGCAGGCCAGCCTGATGATGGTGCTTGCCTGCCATTCCTCTCTGTCCCCCATTCCTTTCCAGCTGGAGGGCCAGTGCACAGCCCTGCATAATGACAAGCATGAAACCAAAGCGGAGAATACCAAGCTGAAACTCACCAACCAGGAGCTGGCCCGGGAGCTGGAGCGCACCTCCCGGGAATTGCAGGATGCCCAGCAGCAGCTGGAAAGCCTCCAGCAAGAGGCCTGCAAACTCCACCAGGAGAAGGAGATGTGAGTGTGGCCTTTAGGCACCCCTATCACTGCTCTCCTGCTCCCTCCCTGCAGTGAGCATGCCATCTCCCCTCTTGGAGACCCTGTCCCTTTGCCTGTAAAATGGGGATTGGACCCCTTGCTCCCTAAGATCTCAACTAGTTTTCTGAAACTATCAGCAGACCAATGCTGCGCTGAGCATTATCTAGGATGCACAGCTCTGTTCTTGGAAAATTTATTATGTGATCAGGAAGATATGTTATCCAACCAACAAATATATTTCAGTCTGTGAGAAAATGCTGAGTGAGCGGGTTGACCAAACATGACCGTAGTAGTTTAGAAACCTTGGGGACCGAAGCGGACGAAAGTGAAGCCCGAACACTTCTGAGATTGACATGTAAATGGATGGGGCATGTGACGGTGCCCTGGAATCTTCACTCCATCTCTGCCCCTTTTTCCTACAAGTATTCTTCTGCATGGGCTGGTTGGGGAGCCCCACACCTCTCGGGGCCTAGTTTGCTAGTGAAACGCTGTGGTGTCAGGAATGGCTCAGCTTGTGAGGCAGAGGCATGCCTGCAAAGATTCCAGGTGTGGTCTGTGTGTTCAGCTGGAGAAGTTGCTGAGAATATCAGCATTTATCTTGTCCCCGGAGTGTTAGGTTTTGAGACCAAATGCACTCTGAGGCCCAGGGAGAGGAATCTCACTTTTTAATTTATTCATTCATTTCTCTATATATTTATGTACTTATTTAGCAAATATTTATTGAAAACTACTCTGTGCCAGGTACTGTGCTGAGCATTCAATGTGTCTTGCGTCGATAGTTTAACATCATCTCCTGTGACCTTTACAGCATCCTGATGTGGCAGGGACGCTTATGATCTTTGATTTATAGATGAGGAAACTGAGGTTCAGAGGTTTTCAGCATCTGTCCAAGAAGCTTAATGCTAGACACTCTTGGTTACCCCCCCAAGGAACAATGAGACAGCTAGAAAATATTTACACAGGCATTGGACTGGCCATCATTCACTCACTCATTTGTTCATCCACTCATTCATGTCTTCATCCATTCATTCTGTGAAATGTTTTTGTGTACCTGGTCCTGTGCTGGGTAGAATGAAAAGTCTGATTTTAGAGGAAAGGCAATATTACTTACCAATGCTTGATGTTATACATATATTCACTTTCCTTGCTCAAAAGTGAAAGCCCTCACTTTCGGACTGTTGGCAAAATGTTGGTCCACCTGCCTAAATCAAATTGTCCTGCTGTCTGGCTCACGTGTGGTGTCTTCTAGCATGTGGGATTGATTGCCTAGGGCAGTGGTCGGCAAACTCATTAGTCAACAGAGCCAAATATCAACAGTACAACGATTGAAATTTCTTTTGAGAGCCAAATTTTTTAAACTTAAACTATATAGGTAGGTACATTGTCATTAACTTAATTGGGGTACTCCTAAGCTGGCTTTTGCTAAAAACATCCTCAATCTGATTGAGGTACGTTCACTGAGGTCGACCCCTTCCAACTCTCCCATCCACACTCGTCTTGTATACAGTGGGGCCTTGGCTTACGAGTTTAATTCGTTCCGAGACCGAGCTCATTAAGGAGCTCGTTAACTCAAATTACTCTGTCAACTCAATGCAAAAAATCGACGGAGAGACAGCTGGTATCTCAAAAAACTCATTAGTCGGGACACTCTTAAGTCAAGGCTCCACTGTACTTGTTTCGTCTATTTCCTTTCCGAAAACCGACTTCTGCGCATGGGCCATGAAGTTTCAATTGCACTGTATGGGTGCGCCCTCACGTGGTATTTTGTGGAAGAGCCACACTCAAGGGGCCAAAGAGCCGCATGTGGCTCGGGAGCCACGGTTTGCCGACCACTGGCCTAGGGTGAGAGGGAGGTGTTTGGATTTAAAGTTTTATCCTAGTAAGATATCTGCAATTAAATACATACACACACACACACACACACACACACACACACACACACCAATTCTTGGGTGACCAGTGGAAAAAGAGTGTATTTCATTGTAAATGAGCAAAATCAGTTCCTCCTCATTGAAAGCAGGTCAACAAGGCACAGGCATTTAACTTTGCAAACAATGAAGGATTCAGGCTTTTAAAATTCAATCAAGTTCTAAAAGCAACAAACATCTGAAGGCGCAGGAATTAGAATAGCAGATGGAAATGAGCACACAGCGTGGAGTAACAGATCATAGCAGGAGGATTCAAATCTTCCCGAAGCCTCATCTTAATTAACCAAGCCAGAGATAGTCTCTGGAGGTTGGGAATTAAAAAAGAGGGGAGGAGGGATAGGAAGAAGAGATAAATGATTCCCCCGTTCACGGCTTGTTTTGGAAAAGCGTGCAGTGTCCTGTACAGCCAGACAGAGTGCTGGAGCTCAGGAGAGCATTCCTGGCCTTCCAGGGAGGTCAGGAGAGAAGGCAGGGAGAGCCTCGCTTGTCCTCTATAGAACAGAGTCCCAGACCACCAGGACTGATAGGACCTTAATGCTCTCCATCTCCCATTTTATAAATGATGAAACTGAGGCTCAGAGAGGTATAGTGACCAACCCAAAGCAGCACAGCTAGTTAGTTCCAGAAAATGGGACAGAGCCTGGTTCTGATGTCTTGCTGCCTGACACTGCTTCACAGCTGGGAGGGGAAAGGGAAGATTCAGAGATAAACAGACTGAGTCATTTATCAGCAAGAGTTCTGAATGGGCAAATTGATTTTCCTGTTCTCTGAAGATGCTCAAGGAAGGAGAACTAGATTTTAAAATATGATAAAGAAAGAACAATCAAGCAGGGAAGATAATATAAAGATGAAGGTCAGCTGAAAGCACCTCTCCGTTTATTTTGTTAATTAACTTTTATTTAGGGTAGTTTATGACAAAGCACCAAATTCAAAGGGCACAAAAGGATATGCACTAAAAAGAGGTTTGCCTCTATCCCCTGCGCCATCACTTCTGGCCTCCAGCCACACAGAGGCCACCAGTCATGGTTTCTTGTGGGTCCTTCCAGAGAGTTCTATGCATATGCAAGTGCGCATGCATACACACAATTTTCACTTACAAAACGGTAGCACTTTATTCTGCATTTGCCTACATTTTTCACTTGACAGTGTATTTCAGAGTGTGCTCCATATCTCATCTGCCTCCTAAAAACAAACCAACAGCAGTTTTCTAATAGCAACCATACATCTCTCACCAACTACTCCTGTGGGGGTCCTCACTGGGGTGCCTGGCCAGGGTGTTCTTCCCCTTTTAGTTCACATATTACCAATGTAAACATTTAGAATGTCTAGGTTAGGAGGACTTCCAAGGTCATTTAATCAAACATCCAAGCACCTTTTTTCACCCAGAAATGCTTTTCTTTTTGTTAACACGAAATAATCTGAATATGTTTCTATGTCTATAAATGGGTCTGAGCAGTTCAAACCTACATTGTTCAAGAGTCAGCTGTATTTTCTATCCCTAGTTGGTGGGATCTGTGTAAGTGGAGGGCCAACTTAACTTATATGGATTTCCAACTGCCCAGAGGATTGGCACTTCCAACCCCCACATTGTTCAAGGGTCTGATGTCTATTTATCTATATACTAGAGGCCCAGTGCATAAAATTCATTCACATGTAGGATCCCTAGGCCTGGCTGGCAATCAGGGCCGATCGGGGTCTTCTGGCTGAGGGCCAGGGCCTCCCTTCCTTCTGCGCTGCCCCCTGGTGGTCAGCGCACATCATAGCGAGTGATCAAACTCCCAGTCTCCCGGTAGAACTCCCGAGGGGACAATTTGCATATTAGGCTTTTATATATATAAACTAGAGGCCTGGTGCACAAAAATTTGTGCACTAGGTGGGGGATGGGCCCCTCAGCCCGGCCTGTGCCCTCTTGCAGTCTGGGACTCCTTGGGGGATGACCACCTGCTGGCTTAGGCCTGCTCCCTGGGGGACTGGGCCTAAGATGGCAATCAGACATTCCTCTGGCAGCCTGACAGCCCTTGGGGGATGTCCACTTGCCAGTGGGGAGCAGACCTAAGCTTCAGTCAGACATCCTTAGCACTGCTGAGGAGGCAGGAGAGGCTCCCACCACCACCGCTGTACTGGCAGCCATCAGCCTGGCTTGTGGCTGAGCAGAGCTCCCCCATGTGGGAGCACATAGACCACCACAGGGCAGCTCCTGCATTGAGCATCTGCCCCCTGGTGGTCAGTGTGTGTCATAGTGACCAGTCATTCCCAGTCTTTCTGCTGTTAGGGTCAGTTTGCATATTACCCTTTTACTATATAGGATAGAGGCCTGGTGCACAGGTGGGGGCCGGCTGGTTTGCCCTGAAGGGTGTCCCGGAACAGGGTGGGGGTCCTGCTTGGGTGCCTGGCCAGCCTGGGTAAGGGGCTGATGGTTATTTGCAGCTGGTCACACTCCCTTCAGAGTGGGGGTCCCCACTGGGTTGCCTGGCCAGCCTGGATGAGGGGCTAATGGCTGTTTTCAGGCTGGCCACACCCCCTTTAGCTTGGGGGTTCACACTGGGGTGCCTGGCCAGTCTGTGTGAGGGGCTGAGGGCCATTTTCAGGCTGGCCGGGACTGAAGCTCCCAACCTCTCCTTTTTTTCTTTTATTTTTTCTGAGATTTATTTACCTTCTATAATTGAAACATTGTTGCTTCCGGAGCTCAGAGCCGGGCTGTGGCAGACAGGGAACCTTGGCTTCTTCCTTCACTGGTGCAAGCAAGCCTCATGTTCGCTTCAGCTGCATGGCTGCCGGCCGCCATCTTTGTTAATGCCAGCAGTTAATATGCATATGGCCCTGATTAGCCAATGGGAAGCGTAGCAGAGGTATGGTTAATTACCCTTTTGTCTTTTATTAGATAGGATATCCAACTGGATTTATGTTTACTAGACAAATGGACAAATATGTTTGCATGGACATGTAATATAATATATGTGTGTATATATGTGTGTTGGCATAGCTCCAATGGTCAGCTGGTTCTGTGAGAACAAGGCCAGAGAAGACCTGCAACACCTTCTTATTTAGGAATTGGTTCCTCAGTCAAACCCCCTAGGACAGCGGTTCTCAACCTGTGGGTCGCGACCTCTTTGGCCGTCGAACGACCCTTTCACAGGGGTCGCCTAAAACCATCCTGCATATCAGATATGTACATTACAATTCATAACAGTAGCAACATTATAGTTATGAAGTAGCAACAAAAATAATTTTATGGTTGGGTCACAAGATGAGGAACTGTATTTAAAGGGCCAGAAGGTTAAGAACCACTGCCCTAGGAGAACCCAGACCTGAGATCTGCAATGAGTGGTTTTCCAAAGCAGGGGTAAGCTACCTGCTTCCTCTGCCCCCGGAGAGAAGCAGGACCAGGTGGGGTCGCACGAAGCGTCCAGGCAAGCTTGGCTCCTGGGGCACAGAGGCAGCCAGGAGGCACCTCTAATTGCTAATCAGAGCAGAATCCTAGACAGGGGTTTGGGAACCTGGTTCAGGTAATGGCAAATATGTTGTTTTTCCCCCAAGTTGAAATTAAATATAATTGGTAATAAAATGTTAGGAATTTGCAGCTCTGCAGGAGCCAGAGAAGTTTTGTTGCTTAATTAGGATTATCTGAGGTGAACTTAGAATTTAATTCAGTCTGTTATTGTTGTAATTGACTTTATAGTTATTCTATAAAGGGGGGAAAGCCACCACCGATACCTCTTCAGGAACCAGGTCATTGTGAGCTTGGCAGAGTCTTATGGACCCAGCAAACTGGTTCTGTTTTCTCCAGCTCAATGACATGGATGGGTGGCCGAGGGTGACTGTCCTTGCCCAGCCCAGGGTGTGCACAATCTAGATGCCCTGACAGCCTATGCAAGTTGACAATGTTATCAGGGTGTAAGATGCTCCCTTCACTAAATGCCATGCTGTGGTTTGGAGACGTGGAACTTTGGGTCCTTTGCATAACCCATGGTGCAGAGCACAGAGGAAAGGATGGAGGTGAAGTTATGAAGTCAACCACGGTTTATTTCCCAGTGTCTCCAGTTCTGCCTTTTTTCCTTTCTTCCCTGAGTGTTGTTGAGTACCTCCCCAACTCACTCCCCTTCCTTCCTTCCCTCCCTCCCTCCCTCCCTCCCTCCCTCCCTCCCTCCCTCCCTCCCTCCCTTCCTTCCTTCCTTCCTTCCTTCCTTCCTTCCTTCCTTCCTTCCTTCCTTCTTTCTGTCTTCCTCTAGCCCTGCCTTCCTTTTTCCCCTCCCCACTCTTTCCTTCCCTCTCTCCTTTCTTCCTTCCTGCTGCTTCTTGTTGACTCTGCCTGTGTGCAGGGCCCTGCAGGGAGGATACAAATGCAAGCAAACTGGACAGGACCCTGCCTCACTACGTTGCGCTCCAGCCACCCATGCAACTTTCAGCTTCTCTCTCCCTCCTCACAACTCCCTATATGGCCACCATGTTCACACTGTGATATAAACAGCTGATTACAACTGATGCATAAGTCTCTCGTTATAGCTAGAGATAAGAAATCCTAAGTCAAAGAAATGAGTGATCAATGGTGGAAATCCCAGATATCTGAAAACAGATTGGAGACTTTGGGAGGTGAAACAGGAAAGTGATTCTTTGAGAGCTCCTGGAAACAAACCTAACCAGCACCCAAAGGAAAAAGAATACCAGTTCTGCTCTCGCCCTCCAAGACTGGGCTGGAGAAGAATATTGATTCTAATCCCCTGAACTCTGGGGGGCAGGACCGTTTGGAGCCTGGGAAAACAGTGGTTCTCTATCACAGAGTCATGCTCAGAGGTGGCATGCAAGTGGCTGCAGAGTGAGCATGTCTGGGGCCAGGAGGCCTTGCTGAGGACCCTGGGTTGTCTGTGTGAGCTGGGAGGGTTATCGAAGCTCTGCCTGTGTCTGTGAAATGGGGTGTCTGTGATGACTAACTGAGGTCATGGCTGTGAGCACTTGCACGTGGCAGGTGCTCTCCAAGGAAGGTCATGTTCCTTGAAACCCGTTGGTCCCCAGCGCGGGCACTGCCTGCTTGTTCCAGTGTGAGGGCTCCCAGGTGCCTCATTCCCCATAGCTCCCCCCGCCCCGAACAATCATTCATTTCTGCTGTTTGCCTCCTCCTCAGGGAAGTGTACCGCGTGACGGAGAGTCTGCAGCGGGAGAAGTCAGGGCTCCTGAAGCAGTTGGATTTCCTGAGGTGGGTCAGCGCTGTGTGTGTTCTGAGAGCGCATCCCAGATGCCTCAGGTGGGGGCCAGGCTGAGTCCGCCCAGCCTCCATGCCGGATTACAGCCGCTGAGAGAGCACCCTCATTTCCCTGCCCTTGACATATTGTTCAGACACCAAGTACCACCCTCTCCATTATGTTTGGTCCATCTACACACGCCCACTTCCCTCTCAAGTTTATACCCCTGTGGGCGGGCCCTCCCTCGTTCTCCACCGCATCTCTCATAGCACCCTGCATGGCCCTTGTCAAGTAGAAGGGGACCTGAATTTATTGAGCATCTACACTGTGCCAGCCATACTACCCCTTTCATCTTCAACAAAACTTAGGGAAGTAGGCAGGGCAGTTGTTAATACAGGGAGTTAGCTGATGAGGAAGTTGGTATTAGAGAAATGAGATAATTTACCAAAAGTGACACAGCTACTCACTGGTGTAGCCAGAATGGAGATCCACATCGGGTCGATTCTCTTTATCCTGCCGTATTCCGTTCATGTTTGTTGAATGAGTTCAGGCACACCTCATCTTATTGTCCTTTACTTTGTTGTGCTTTGCAGATATTGCGGGTTTTTTTTTTACAAATTGCATGTTTGGGGCCATGGTGCATCGGGCAAGTCTATTGGTGCCATATTTCCACAAGGCTCAAATGATGTGTCGCACTTTTTAGCAATAAAGTATTTTTTAATTAAGGTTTGTACTTTTTTAGACATCATGCTCTTGCACACTTAAGACTACAATATAGAATAAAACTATATTTATATGGACTAGGAAAGCAAAAAATTCATGACTTGCTTTATGACGATATTCCCTTTATTGCCATAGTCAGTAATCTGCAGGGTCTGCCTAAAAATGAGTCAAAACAGCACCAAGAATGGTGTCTCCTTCGCCTGCTAAAACTCACTGTAACGTCAAAGCTCATTGGCCTGGGATGCGCCCAAAACCCAAACCAAACCAAATCCCACCAAACCTGTGTGGGAAAGGTGGCATTTTGAGTTCCGCCTCTGAGGTTTCTAAGTGCCTGCTGCCTACCAACCACCTCCTGGGGAGTGGTGACCAAGCAGAAGGACTTCGGTTCTGATTTGTAAAGGGCAAATGCTTTGAAGTCAGGTAAATGATGAAGCTTTTGTTTAGTTTTTTTGTTTGAAAGCAAGGTAAGGTCACTGTGTCTCACATCCCTGATGCTACCAGATTGAAAAGTGCTTCAAATTGAATGCCCTTCAAATTTACTGCGCTTAATGCCTGGTTCCAACAGGCCCCAAAGGCCAACTTCTCATCCACTTAAGAGAAGATGTTGATTCTTAGGAAGGCGTTGGTGAAAGGAAGAGAACAAGATGTTCAAGGCCAAGTTTTTGTGTTTTTCCCCTTCTTTCTATTATACTTGGAAAAAAGAAAAGGGCAGATTCAACATGAGTGAGCAGAGGGGGGTGACAAGGCAGCATTCTGCAAATGCTTGTGGGCCTTTTTAAAGGAGAGCAGCCTTTGTGCAGAATCACGTGGCTGGAGCTACAGCATGGTTACCAGCTCAGCCTCTGCCAGCTGGTGAGAGCCCAGCTGTGGAGGGGAGGCCCCCAGCAGGTTTCTCTTCCACACTGAAGTCACCAGCTAGTGACCCAGAGCAATGGGGAAACGGAAGTTGAGGAGAGAAAGTTGGGAGAGGGGAGGGGTGGGGAGAACAGTGGGATGTGGAGGGGTGGTGGTGGTGAAATCAGGACAATGGCCGGGATGTGACCGGATGAGGAGGGGACTGCCCTCCTAAGGGAAATGGAGCAAATGGAAGCAATTTCAGGAACACACCCTTTGCAGCTGCATCTGGTTCCAGTCCCAGCACTGCCCCTCATTACTGTGTGTGCCCTTGGACAACTGACTTAACCCGTGGGCGTCTTAATCTCCTGCCCACCTCTTGGGCTTCCTTTGAGACTCAGATGATAGATGTGAGTAGCAATCCCAACAGGGAGTGATGGGAATGAAAGTGGACACATGTAAAGAGTCTAGCATTTCTTTAAGTACTGAAGCCTCTGCATGGTGGTGGCTGCACAAAGCATGAAACAACAGCAAAGCCCCGAGAAAGATGTGGCTCCCAGGGCTCCCCACGTCCTCACCCAGACGCAGGGACGCTAACGTCACTCCTGCACAGAGGGAGGGCCATTCCGGCATGAGAAGCTCCCTTTCCATCCTCAGGGTTTACAAGAACCTTCCTCGTCCCTCCCGCTCACTCTGCAGGCCCTGGCTGCTCACCAGATGCACAGCTGGTGCAGAACAACCCCGGGAGCTGAGGTCTGTCCTCCGGCCTGTCTCAGACCGGCGCCTGCCGCGTGCAGCTCACTTAGCGGAATGCCTGCCCACGGTCCGTGCCCAGTAAATGGCCATGTTACAGTGATGACAGTCAGACCACAGCTGTGCCCTCCCTTTGGAGAGATCTAAATGTGTTATAATATTTCTTATACAGTTTCTCATCCTCCCCTCCCCATCTAGCTACTTTCCGTTTCTTTAATCACTTTCAACAAAACTTTCAAAAGAATTGTTTGCCCTTATAGTCACTGTCTCCATTTCTTTTCCTCATAGTCCCACCCTCTAGTCAGGCTTTTTCTACAACTGAAAGTGGAACCAATGACCAACATGTTAATTAAAATATTGACCAATTCTCGGCCCCACCCTCGTCCCCAGCAGTCTGTTCTTGGCACTGCGCCTATAGGGCTCCTTTGAAAACCTGGGTCAGATCAGGACACTCCTCTGCCTCTCCACACCCACCCCCACGGCTCCATCTCTCAATTGGGTGAAAAATCAAAGTTCTTACAATGGCCCACAGGCCATGAACGGCAGGTCGCCCTCCTCCTCTATCTTTTCTCTGACCTTGTCTCCTAATGCTCTCCCTCTGAGCACGCTGCTGCCCTTCGTTCTGTTCCTCATGCACAGCAGGCCTCCCCCAGTCCAGGCTGTGCCCCAGCAGTCCCCTCTGCACACCAGGCTTTTGCCTCAAATACCCACAGTGCTCCTCTCTCCTCTGAATCTCCGCTCAGATGCTGCCTTCTCAGCAAGCCCCCCCCCCCCCCCCCCGCCCCGCCACCCACCACCACCCTATTGAAACACCACTCTACCCCTGGCTCACTTTATTCCACTTTCCTGCTTTTTCTCAGCAGCAGTTATGCCTGCACTAAAATACAAATTCTCTGAGGGCAGGAACTTCTTGTTTTGTTCATTGGTGTAACCTTCATAGGCAGAACGGTGCCTGGCACATAGTGGGTGTCCAGGAGACTCTTGTTGGGAGGATGTAGGCACGAATGAATGGTTCACAGAGGGCACAAGGCCCCAGAGCAACTCATAGGCCCAGAGTGACTCCTGGGCACCCTCTGGGGGAGGCTCCCTGGTGATGGCATAGATCCATGCATGATCTGAAGGGCATGGGTGCCAGGAGGCCATTCTGTCTATCCCCTTCCTCTGAGCTGATTTACACAGACTATCCTCTGCCATTAACCACAACCCCTAAGGAAGGGGGTGGGCCTTCCACAGCACGCCTTCCTCTGTACCACCCGCTGGCGACTGCTGCTATCGGCTCCGTGGACCACAAGCTCCATGTTTGAATAGATTCTCCTTTTCCATCACAGGGAAAGGAACAAGCACCTCCGGGATGAAAGGGACATATGCTTTCAGGTAAGTGCCCGGTGCCCCCCACCTCTGGGGAAAGACAAGGACTGTGGTCCAGTGGCAGCCAGCGCCTGAGCCGGGACTGGCCCGCAATGCCCTGAGGTGTGGGGTCTGCTTGCTCCTTTCTGTGTGGCAGGACCATGGCATATGCTTTTTAGGAAATAATAAAAATGCAGGGGACCTCCTGGGTAACAGTGTGTTAATTTCCCATGAAGTCACACACTTCCCTCTTGGCATAACAGGGCAAATAATTGGGAGGGTCACGCATTTCTTGGATGCAGAAATGGTAGTTCTGTCCTGAGATGACGCAGTTGAAATGTCATGATCACTTTTACACCACAAAGCTCGCAGCGTTTTTCTTTATTAAAATTTTTATCTCTTGATGAAAAATTTGCATTTTAATTCAAAATTCAAAATGTATACTTGACAATTTACATAGTAGATTTTATGAGCAATATTTTTACCCTGTGGGGGCCCCTGCTTTTCCAGACCTGAGCACAATACTTACTTATTTTCCCAAACAACACAAAATTCTATATTTATTTAAAATCTTCCCTTTGGGCTGCATCAAACAAAATCTAGGATCCCACGTTCCCCTACTTTCTTCCCTCTTAGACAGCGGCTGTTGGATGCTCTCAAGGGAAGAAAAATGGTGGCAGGACTGATTGATGTGAGTTTTTAATTATTAGAATGATCATACCATGAAGTTCATGTGTGTCCTTGGGCAAGTCATTCGCCTCCTTGGACCATGACCCTGCCTACCTCATCAGGAAAGGGAATCCCTATTCTTTATTTTTTTCCCCCAAATTGTAAGGGTTTTTGAGAAAAAACTTTTGGCAAGAGGAGGTCTCCCACTGGACCCTTGGCTGAACAGTGGCCTAAATGCAGGTGGCAAGGGGCAGCTGGTCTGCCCTGAATGAAGTGCACCCAGTTTATAACTGCGAATCCTGGAGGGACCTTGTTCCACCGTGTCCTTTCCATCACTGACTGGCAACAAACACCTCTGCACCACCTGAGCCCTACCAGAGCAAGGCCTCAGCCTACATGTGTGTTGGATGATGATAATGGTTATTATTTTAGAAGTAACTGCATTTATTTTAAAACTTCCAACCGAATGTCATCCTAATCCCTTGACCTTGCTTTCCCTCACCTGCCAAACTCATTTTGCTTTGAAAAGGGAATGGGCTTAAGAAAGAAGGGTAAAATCATGTTAATTCTTTTTTAAAAAATCATGTTAATTCTGGGTAATAATTAAAAATTAACTTGGAATCATTATAGTCATATTTGCAGAGGCCCTGGGAGTCCTGCCAGTTCCCCCCACCCCCCTGTTAAGGATCATCAGGAATCATGGGGATGGCTGGTTAACGAGAGATTCCTTTAGGGACTGTTAGGGAGCATTGGCAAAGAGGGTGCAAGCCCCCACCCCACCCAGGCTCTTCCTTACAGATGTGTGAGCCATTTATCCACACCCAGCCCCCGCCCACAAAAGGTTTGACATACCCTGTGCTAGCTTAGTAGCTGTGGACGGGGGCTGGGTGAACTGATCCTCTGGGCTGGTCTCTTTCTCATGTCCGAGCCTTTGGGAATACCTGGAACTGGAGCCACACAAAGAGTGTGATTTAAAGAGCCAGGGTCTTTTCTGTCCATAAACATTCTTCCTATGCTTTCCACATCTAGCTCCTCTTACCTGTGCTCTTGCAAATTATCAATAGTCCTGTGAAGGACAATATCGTGGACCCCAGGCTCTAAACTGGGTGTTGCCTCATTTGATTAGGTTATCAGACAGGAAGTGGAGGAATTCTGGTGAAAATGCCAGCAGGGAGAGCAGAACATCACTTGCTTATTCAGAGTTTTGTCTAAAGCCTGACCTAGGAGGTGGGAAAGTTGAGCCCTTTCTGCTCAAACATTAGGACAAACTGGCAGGCATGGATCTGAGGGCCTTTTGTGTTTCTGCAGAAAGATAAGGCAGCCAAAGCAAACACAGCTGCTGCCAAGGCAAGCTGGAAACAGAGATCTGGCTCTGTGATAGGCAAATATATGGACGGCAGAGGAATCCTTAGAAGGTAAGTTGTCCTCTATTTGTTCACTCGTTATCTGTTCACTGGTCTTGTACTTCTTGGGAGCAGGCCCCAAGCCTGTGCTGTGCTGAGTGCAGACTGGCCCTTGGGAAGTGGCACTGGTGGGGAAGCCTGGGGTCAGCTGTGCTCACTCCGCTTGAATCTTGGAGGACGTATCCCTTCCTGTTCTGACATCCAAGGAGGAGTCTGGTGCAGAGCGAGCCCCTAGGACAGACCATTGTCTTTTCTGTCCCTCCCGTCCTGTCCAGTGTGTGCCTGCAGAGAGGGACTGAAGCAGTGCTATAGACCAGCAGAGGGGAGAAAACAAGAGCGTCAGGGACAGAGATGGAGGGTGTGGCCTGACGATGCCCAGCTGTCAGTTGAGCAGAATGGATACACTTGGTTTTTCAGGCACATGACTATTTGGGCTCTAAAGGGCAATTAAAGTGCCCTATGGAATCTCTAATAGCTGAACTCCTTCACAGACAAGACTAGGGCCTGTGCTTGACTGATTCCTTTCAATGATTCATATTTAATTAACTCAAAGATGACATGTTTTGTTCCTGTTGGATAACACATAATTGCATCCCCAAAGGAGGGGTTTGTTGTTTATTCAGAGACCAGCCAATCCCCTTCTTCTTGTTGGCATGTGCTCCTTCCACATTGATGGCCAGAGAGAGGTAGAGGCAGCTGGATCCCTTAGTATTAGATCTGGGGACAAAGTGTGCGAACTTGCTCATCTAGGAGACACTGAGGACAGCAAGCATGCAATACCAGGTGGGCAAAGGGAGGTGGCTCTGGGCTGTCAGTCAGCTGATGAGTCGAGTCTTTGGAGCTGATCATTGTGAATTTCTCAGTATCTGAACAGTGAGATACAATTTTGGAGCTAAGTTTGTGCAATAATAGTTGGCCTGTTGGTTCCTCAGAACAGAATCTATTCATTGATTGATTCAGTCAATAAGCATTTACCAATTCCCTCCTCTGTAGCAGACAATTTTTTGAGTTCTGTGAAGATTCCAAAGATAAATTAGACATGAGCCCTGCCATTAATGTCTATTATCGAGTGCCTGCAATGTGCAGATACTGCACTGTGTGCTGGGTATATATACAGTGGTGAGCAAACAGGCTCTGAGGCCACTTCCCCCTGACTGACTTGCAGGGTCACTGAAAGAGAAAGGGAAAGGAAGGAGAGGCAGGTCGAGATACCCTGGCTTCCTTCGACCCAAAGCACGTGCTCTAGTGGGCAGCTGCCTCTGAGCCAGGAGACATCTGACTAGTGGGGACATACAGTTAGTTAGGGCTGGCCTTGGGACCAGAGTCGAGGCTATCTGATTGTTAACCCAGGATGCTTTATTTATGCTCCTTTCTTCATACCCTTTTCTTCTCTATCAAAGCATTTCTCACAACTTGTAAAAATATGTTTAGTTGTGTCATTATTGCTCTAGCCCTTCCACTAAGGTAAACATTCCTCAAGGACAGGGGATGTGTCCACTTGTTCATGACTGTGACATTAGCTTTATACCTGATAGATCATCATTATTACCTTTACTGTCATCACCATCATCACCTTCATCATCATCACCTTCACCATCACCTTCACCACCTTCACCATCAGGCTCTTATATAAGTGTGTTGAGTGAATGAACTAAATAATGCTGGGTCTGGTTTTTCCTTTTCCAGAACTCTGTGCCCCCAAGGTGTGGTGCTCTTTTGTCATCTGTCAGAAAAGCGCTATGGCTTCCATACTGATACATTTTATAATTTTCTTCCCCTTCTTCTTTCTTCTCCACCCCAAACAGCCAGTCAGAGGAGGAGGAGGATGTGTTTGGCATGCTGAGGAGGAGAAGCTCCCTGGGCCTGAGTGGGTATCCCCTTCCAGATGAGGAGCCAGGAACCAGGGAGCCAGGGGCTGAGGGTCCACGCCCCCGGGCACTCCGCAGAATCATCTCCATTGAAGAAGACCCCCTGCCCCAGCTCCTGGATGGCAGCTTTGAGCGGCCGCTGAGCAAATGCCCAGAAGAGGAGGAGATCTCCAACCAGGGGGTGGAAGGACAAAGTCAGCAGTCCCAACCTTCTCAGGGGGAACTCGTGCCCACATCTCCCCGAGGGCAGCCTGTTGGGAAAGAAGCTCTGTCTAAGGTAAGGGCATGTCGCACCTTGATTTTAGAGGTCATTCCTATGCCATGTCCCAAAGGCAGCTTAGAAAATCAGATGTAACTGGTCTCATGATTCAACATATTTGTGTCCTTCAAATACTACCTTTCCCTGCTTAGCTGAGTGTCTTGGGGGAGACTCAGGGGTCCTGGTAAATTCTCCTTATAAACTCTGATGTTTGTCCCACTCCCTACCCTATGCTCTTTTCTGATTCAGTGTAAAGCACCAACCCCATGTCCCACCTGAACTCCCCACCAGGTCTTCCTCTAAACTCTGTGGGGAGAAGGAGGCCATATGAACCATCTTCCTCTGGCTCATAGTGATGATGTTCCACACCTTGTTTGTGACCTAAGCCTAGGAGCCTTCCTTGGGCCCTGACCCCTCCACTTGACCCTCCAAAGCAGCTTTAGAAATGTCCCGGCAGTGTGAAAGAGGCTCCCCTGCACACTAGGCCAGCCCTTTAGAATTAGCCCTTGCCACCTGGAGCATTTCCATGGCTGTATTAGCATGTGTGACAGGAAGACTTCTCTGGCCACTGTGCGCGGACATGTGGTGTCAGTTATCACCCTTGGGTCTGGATTAAGATTCATGCCTATGTGTCACTCCTCTGAAGGGTGGAATGGTGGAGGCCCAGGCCCCAGGTAGGGTGGAGAATTGGTGGCACCCACTGGTGGGTGGGGCCCCTCCCCCTACCTGTCAGCGCTATACATGCAGGCATTGGGCACAGATGGGGTTTTCAGTACCCCATGCTTTTCCCCCAAATGTGAAAGAAATGTCAAGAGGCCAGGGGTAGAGGGAAAAGGCTAAGCATTGTGTCTGCAATGGCATTTGATCCTTGCAGTCATCTAACGAGGCGTCGGAGATGTGTTCTTCCTTCCGGCAGACTGGGAAGTAAAGTCCAAAGGGGTGCGGCCTGGCCCAGCCTTCTCCCTCTGCTCTCACACACTGAGGCTCCACCAGGCTGGGCTGCCTTCCAGCTGCGGACAGAAACTGCGGCAACGAGGAAATATGATCCACCAGCAGCCACAGCAGCCTCAGCAGAGGCTCTGCTCCTAGGAAGGTGGCATGAGGCAGGCCCTCCGAGCCAGGCTGCTGAGCCGGAAACCATGCAACCTTTCGGAACAGTAGATTGATAGCAGGAATCATGAGCTTATAAATTCCACGTCCTTTGAACCAGCACTTCTTCTAGCAATCTTTTCTCAGGAAATAACCAAAGTTAGACAAAGATTTAATGCAAGAATATAAGTGTACTAGAGGCCCAATGCTTGAAATTCGTGCAAGAGTTGGCCTTCCTTCCCCCTGCTACCAGCTCTGGCTTCCCTCCAGCACCCAGGACCCGGGCTTCCCTCAACCCCCCGGCTTCATCCGGAAGGTCGTCTGGAACAATGTCTGGTCTAATTAACATATTATGCTTTTATTATTATAGATAATAGCAAACAATTGAAAATCTAATAGGACATAAACTATAGCTTATTAATTCAGTAGAATATTACACTGCTGTTAAAAATAACATTTAAAAATAGTGAAACAGAGAAATATTTATAATTTAATAATATATGAAAATGATAAAATTATAATATCTCAAGTCATTCTCAATAAAACATATGTTCATTCATCTATATAGAAAAAGAAGCCTGGAAGGAATGCATTTGAACATGAGTGGTGACCACTGCAGGGCAGTAGGGTAGATTATAATTATTATTTTCCTCCCTACTTTTCTGCATTTCCTAATTCTAAAAAAAAAGTACATATTAGTTTTATTTTTAAAGTGGTCGGAAGGAGATTAGCAGACCTTTCTCCAGTCGTCTTGCCCCAATCTGGTTGGCTCACTGTGGGTTAGCCCCAGAAGGGACATGGCTTAAGTGCATGAACACTGAGTAGGAGTTTGCTGCACCTGGAAGGTGTGTCCTGCCGCAGCTGAACCATCAATAAATGTGTTTATCTTCTTCAGCCTGGAAAAAAAAAAATAGTGTTTTGTCCCATGGTAGGGGGTGGGCACAGGGCTAACGTCAGGCACAGCCTCTGCAGCGGGACCTGCTCCTCCTGCCCTGGGCTTCTCATGTCTCCCCACACCTGGGCCTGAGGACACAGATGCTGCTCTGAGCTTTCATCTCAAACAAATTACAGGGAGACAGAGGCTGAGCAGAGACTGGCAGAGAGCCCATACCCTTGGCATTGCAAGAGTAAAGAAAATGGGCAGGGGCATAGTTTTTGAGTGTGGAGCATTTTTTTCTTTAAGTTTAAATTCCTGAAATTGACCTTGAATACCTACTGAAGTGCTGCATGGAATTGATTTCTCCCCAAAAGGCTGTTAGTGGCTTTTCTCTGATACTCAAGTCCTGCTAAGATCTGCTGCCACTCCATTATAGTATTTGCTCGATGAGAGGAGCTAATTCCCCCAAATCCACTTCTAAATAGATTCCAAAGAGTTTCCTCACTTGAACCAGCAGTGCTGGGCTGGGTTTGAAGGCAGGATTGGGGGGAGCAAGCAAACAGCTCTCCCAAAGGAATGAGGGCTCAGTGGAGAGCAATGACCCTGTGCAGGCGGCAGGTCCTTACTCTGCCTCTCATTCCCTCAGTGTCTAAGCCAGCCGTGGGCAAACTACGGCCCGCGGGCCGGATCCGGCCCGTTTGAAATGAATAAAACTATTGAAAAAAAAGACCGTACCCTTTTATGTAATGATGTTTACTTTGAATTTATATTAGTTCACACAAACACTCCATCCATGCTTTTGTTCCGGCCCTCTGGTCCAGTTTAAGAACCCATTGTGGCCCTCGAGTCAAAAAGTTTGCCCACCCCTGGTCTAAGCAAGTCCATTTCCCATTGGGCTTCGGCATCCCAGATGAATGGGCAGCAGGCTCAGCCCCAGCCCTCCTGCTGCCGGGCAGGGCAGGAGGAGCAGCAGTGCTGGGGGATTTGAACGCGCTTCCAGTGGCCTGGTGTTAGCATTTCCCCTTCTACGAGGTGGAGACTGTCTTGCCTTTGTTCCCCAGGCAAATGGGGATCCTGGATGGAAGCTGATGAGATGGGACAGAAGAGCAAAGGGCAGGAAGGCAAGACTATCCCCGTCAGTCTAGCCCAGTAATGGCGAACCTTTTGAGCTCGGCGTGTCAGCATTTTGAAAAACCCTAACTTAACTCTGGTGCCGTGTCACATATAGAAATTGTTTGATATTTGCAATCATAGTAAAACAAAGACTTATATTTTTGATATTTATTGTATATATTTAAATGCCATTTAACAAAGAAAAATCAACCAAAAAAATGAGTTCGCGTGTCACCTCTGACACACGTGTCATAGGTTCATCATCACTGGTCTAGGCTTTCAATGAAAGGGCAGAAACAAGAGCCCTACCCCAGCCTGGGCTGTCTCTGCCCCTGTGACAAAGATGTCTTTTTTCTATCTCCTCTCCTCCCTGCAAACATTTCTCCTATCCCCCCTTTCACCACCCCTGCTTCTGTTTTAAGCCCAGCTCAAGGCATCTGCGGGGTGAATCCTGGCTCTCCTCCCTGCTGCCCGAGCACTTGGACCATTGTGCTGAGATTGTCTGTTTACATGCCTGTCCGCTTCTTTCTACCACAAGCCAGGCCTCCTCCTCATCCCTGCATCATAGTAGGCAGACAACAGGTGCTGGTTGAATGAATGTCCCTCTTCCCCTTGCTGATGCCCAAAGCTACCTGCATCTGCGGCTGGGCGGTCTCCTGGTGCCAGTGTGGAGGCCAGGTCCCCACTGTCCCCTGCACACCGTAGGGATGGGAGAAGGGCAGGTGGTGGCAGGAGCAGGGCTTGAGGCCACACTGTCTGCCGTCCACAGGAGGAAGGCTCTCTCTCCACCCCAGACCGGCTCTTCAAGATTGTGTTTGTGGGCAACTCTGCCGTAGGGAAGACATCCTTCCTGAGGAGATTCTGTGATGACCGGTTTTCCCCGGGCATGACAGCCACTGTGGGTAAGTTCTTACCCTTAAACTGGGTCCCGCCACCTCTGGGAAGGGGAGGTTGTGAGAAGGGGGCCGAGGGAGGCACTTGGAGCTCAATGGGAGCAGCTGTGGGCCCTCAGGGAGGGGAGGCCAGGTCTGCTTGCTCCACAGTGAGGCTGAGGGACAGGCGCAGTCCATTCCTGCAGAGGGCTAGCTGCTAAGCTCACTCCCAGTGGGACAAGACCACCGAAAGCTTCCCATGTCCAGCTTGAGTAGAACTGAAGTTGCCAAAGATGGACTTTAGCCCTTTTATCCCTCTGAGCCTTTCTCTCTTATTGTTTCTTCCCACTTTCAGCAGGGCCCTGAATCTTCATGTTCCTGCTGGGACTTATTCCCTTCCCCCCTCCCCCCTCCCCCCACCCCTGTCACCACAACCCCAACCCCCTCCATGAGCCAATTGCTTCCGTGCCCTGCCCCTCTCAGTGTGTGTGTGTGTGTGTGTGTGTGTGAGAGAGAGAGAGAGAGAGAGAGAGAGAGAGAGAGAGAGAGAGAGAACAGGAGGGATGGAGGGCAGAGCTCTAGATGGCTCTTTTACGCAGATGACAAGACATTACCTGTCCTGCCTCCTGGGCCTGCTGGGTGGCAGCTGGAGTTCACTGGAGAAGCCCATTAGGCGCAGCTATTAGTGGATGATCATGGCTTAATGTGCTCCCACTCCTGTGTAATATTTTATTTAGATGAAGGAGTTTCTCCCTTCTCCAAAAGTTGCTCATTGCATTGGAATATGTGGTGAGACCACAGGCATCTTGACCTTTTTAGCTTTTACCAAGTTGAATCACCCAAATAAAAAATAAGTCCACTGAGTTCCTACTGTATGCCATTTAACCACACTGATAAGTCAACTATATTTGAAAATATATGGATATATCTGAATATTTACCATGGGCTTTTATATTCATCATTTCACTCTACCTTCGTACAACCCTGGGAGGCAAGTGTTGTTATCAGCCCAATGGACAGATCAGGAAACTGAGGCCCAGAGAGGTGAAGAGGCTTGTCCACATTTCCATCAGCAGGTTGGTGCAGATAGTGGCTCCCCCTCTGCCCCCAAACCCCTTCTGTTCCATTCCACAGTGTCCCTCATAACTTTGAGTTGTGTGTGCTCAGCACCCCATGGATTTTGAGGACACTTCCCTGCCACGGGAAGTAGACTGATGGGTGCAGGCAGGGGAGGCTGCTGAGGTTCAGTGGGGCATTAGAAGTCCTGGCTCTCTGTCTCTGCTCTGCCACTAACCAGTTATGTGACTTCAGGGGGACACGTTCCCTCTTTGGGCTTCAGTTTTTCTCATCTGAAAAATTAGGGAAATGAACTGGGTCACACAATACTGCTTCCAGGCCTGAGGCTCTGTCCAGGCCATCTTTTACCTTTGGGTGCCTGACAGCTGGCCCCACAAGACAAACTTTTCCTGCCCCAGAGTCCTGACTGGGGAGACTCCATGTTCTTCCTCTAATCCTGAACTGGCCCTTCTTCCAACTTTCCTCTACAGATGGGTCTCCTCCCACCTGCTTCAGGGTGCCATTCTTACTGCTGGGCCTGTTCCTATGGTGTTTCCACATCTGGAATATCCTCCTGTCCCTCCCTTCTGCTCCATTTCACCCCAAAACTGAAAGCACCTCAAGATGAAGAATTGGGACCCTGAAGGGAAGAAGAGCAGAGTCTGTGAACTCATCCCAGAAGCGTCTGGCCTTGTCTGCCCTGGAGAAAAGTGATGGGAGTGAGCCAGGTGCACTGAGCTCAGGAGTGAGCATGGTGACACAGGAAGCAATGGCTGAGGAGGTGGACTGAATTCCTGGGAGATCATTCGGTGGGGTGGGCCCCGACAAGCCATGGCTCAAGCACAGACCATGAGAGGCAGGAGGACAGATTCCAAGTGTTTAGGTGCCTCTCCTGTTGAAATCAGGGAATCAGGGTTCGTTTACATTTCCAACTTGTGTCCCTAAGATGCAAGTCTCTAAAAAGAGAAAACCAGACTAATTTGCACTTCCCAGGGGGCCAATTATGGAAACACCTACAAGTTAGGTGTAGGAACTGTGGCTCAAATTAGTGTTCCAGCTACACAGCAGGCCTTGCTCTGGTGCACCTGTCAGTAGGCAGTCATAGAAGCCACCTGAAATGCTTCTGTAAAAGGACAGAAGAGCCACAGAGTCCTGGCCCTGGAGGGCCAAAGCGGTCCAACCCTAGATTGGAGCTCTAGCCAACCACCTGTCCAGGGCAGCAGCCCCTGAACCATGAACACAGTACAAACAGGGACTCAGCAGCCCCTTAAAGCTTACCTCCATCATCAAAGGGGACTTCCTGGCTTCGCACTGCCTCAAGGGACCATGACTGGTACTCAACTCCTGGCTTGCGCGTAATGTAAGTTCTACAGTACAACAGTGTGACTTGAGCACCTTCCTGCACCACCTTAGCACCACATGATTCCTTTACAAGCAGGTGTTTGGGCCTTGTGGGTGTCAAAGAATGGTCTCTTAGAACATCAGAGCTCATTTTGTAAATGAAAAGACTGATTATTAAAGGCAAAAGCTCCCTAGAACCCAGGACTCCGAGTCCAGTGTTTTTCTACTGCCCCACATTGAGTCACCGCTCCTGCTTTTCCCAACAGACTGCACTCTGCTCTTTCTTGGCCATCAGTTGAGTTTCTATCCCCCTCCCCATCTCTACAGAGAAATCCCTAGTTGTCCCCATGACAACTTGCAGACACTCCCACTCCCACATCCGTCTTGCTCTAAATGACAGCTTGGTCCTGTCTTGTCACCCTTTCTGGAGTCCATCAACCAGCTCTAACTCATTACCATCCCACAACATAACACACTTCACGGCCACAGAGGCTCCAGCTTTCCAGCCATCATTAAGGAACCAGTTAGGTTGCAAGTTGGAGGTCACCTCCATGTGTTCATTGAATGCTACAGCTGAACAGATCCTGAGCACCAACTTACCCCTCCACACCCTCCATCACACCTCAATTTACAGGTGAGGACAGTGAAACTCCCCCAAAATGAGATGAAGCAATGTCATCAAGATCACATAGCTGGTCAAAGGCAGGACTAAGACACGAACACAACATGGTCGCCTGGCTCCTGGGGTGTTAAAACTGGTTATGGTCTTAGAAGTCAGTGTAGTTCAGGCCCTCAGGTCCCATGTTATTGTGTAGCCTCTTCTATTGGAATTGACTCCTTGTGTCTCTACCTTCCCTTGCCTCTCCCTCCCATGGACTTACCTGCTTCCTGGGCCTGCCTGTCGGAGGCTGCAGAAAGAAGCACCAGTACCTGGCAGGGACTCTCACCAAGCTCACCACAGCACAGAACCTGTTTTTTTCCAGCACTCCTTGGTCCACCTCACTCTCTGCAAGATAAGCATCCTGTCCTCCAGCAAAGCAATCAGCCAATGAGGTAGAGCTCAATCATAAAGAGCTGAGACCTGTCTGCCCCTCTGCCTTCAAGCCTTTCTTTCCACCAAGAAGAAGGCTCTGTCCTTGGGCTTCCCACCTTGGGCTGGCTGGTTTCAGATCAGGCCCTGAAAGTGTGTTGACAGTGCTGGCATTCTCCTGAGTTGTTGCCAGAAAGTAGGCAGCCCCTTCAGTCTCCCAGAGTATACACTGGGGAAACACTTCCACTTTTGGCTAAGAAGAAAGCTCACCTGGATTCAGCTCCCAGCCAGTTGTAATCCATTTGGATGGAAACACTTAGCCCTGGACTTTCCAGATGAAATGAAGCTGCCAGGTGTTTCTGTGCCCAGGATACTGGTGAAAAAAGAAGAATGAACCTCAGAGCTGGGTTTGCAACACACTGCACCTGATGAGCTTGGGCGAGGCATGCCATCTCTGGATTCTTGTTTCTTTATCTCTCACTGGTGTGGTGGGTGGTGTGGTGTGCATATACATATCTGTATGCATGTGTATGTATGTGCATGAGTATGTGTCACGGGGGGAGCACTGTGATGATGGAGAGATAGCATATGAAAGTTAGAAATATCAAGCATTCTACCAATGGGTGAAATCACTCTTTTCTCTACCTAGAAAATGTACTGCTCCCTCTGCCCTCATCTGCAAAGCACAGGGCCTCTAGAGTCATTCTAGGGGTGGCGACTCTCCCTCCTCTCCCCCACTCACGTGTCCATAATGTACTGGCCTTTGCCTGGGGACAGTGGCTGGGATGGTCTTTTCCATTGACTGCCTCTTTGTTGTCTGTTTTGTCACTTCTATCTTTTCCATGCAAGCTGCTATTGCTGTCCTCCCTGAGCCCTCCAGGGTGAGGACCTTAGAAGCTGGGCCCTTTTGGAGGTGGTATAGGATGCCCTCTGTTTCCAAGATTTGATACCTTAAGAGGGAAAGACTTTTTGAGCCTCATTAAGCATTTGTGAACATTCTTAAATGATGGCAAGAGAGGAATGTCTGTTATCAAAGAACTTCTGAGGGCTGCTGTGGGCTCAGAATGTGTGTACCTGAGCTTGCTCCCTCTCTCTGTGGTCCATGACTTCAAGTGGGATTGCAGCGTCAGAGAGACCATTGCGAGTGGCCCAGTGGCTGGGATTAGGAGCTCTGATGTCGCCTCCAGGGTGAATGTTGCCTTTGATTCCCTCCTTCACCCTCTTCTCTTGTAGCCTTTCCCCCACCTGCCACACCTTCCTGTCCTCCTGCTCCCCCTGTTCTTCCTCTGGCTCTGTCACATACATTTGCAGTGGCTGATGGAAGTCTGAAAGCATGATCCATACCCAGGGATATTTGAACTTTATTAGGGGAACATTGAAAATGATTTTAGGGAGAAAGGAAGGGAGGGAGGGAAGGAAAAAGGAAGGGAGGAAGGAAGGAAGGGAGGAAGGAAGAAAGGAAGGAAGGAAGGGAGGAAGGAAGGAAGGGAGGAAGGAAGGAAGGGCAAAGGGAGGAAGAAATTTAAGGACAGTCTTTCCTCCTGCTCCATCTTTGTGGTAAGAGAGTAAATTCATGAATATAACAATGTCTTTGCATTGGCATATTGCTTTTACATTTGAACCTGATTGTAGTATCCCTAAGGAGGGTATGGATTATAGTACAGGGAGGAGCCTGAAGTTCAGAGTGGTTAAGTGATTTGATAATAAGTAGCAGAGATAGAATCAGGCCCCACACCTCCCTGTCCAGTGTTCTGTCCATTTCCCCACATCGCCTCCCACGAGCTACACAGGAGCTGTCATCCTTGACCTGATGTGATTCCAGACATGTTGGGGCATCATGCTCTTATTTGGAAGTAACAGGCCTGGTCCACCTTGCAGGCATCGATTACCGTGTGAAGATGGTACATGTGGGTGACTCTCAGGTGGCCCTGCAGCTGTGGGACACGGCCGGGCAGGAGAGGTGAGGAGTCGTCCTGATGTAATACTGCCTCCTCCATTCCCCCCGGGGGCCGAAGGTTTGGGTTGCAACGGAGGGCTGTGCTTCCTTGACCTGTGGCCCTTCAATGGCAGGTATCGTTGCATCACCCAGCAGTTCTTCAGAAAGGCTGATGGTGTCATCGTCATGTATGACCTCACAGCCAAACAGTCCTTCCTGTCGGTCCGGCAGTGGCTGAGCAGCGTGGAGGTGAGCTGGTGACCTTCCTGGGAGCACTATGAGGGCCTCTTGCTTTTCTCTCTTCTCTGCCCATCTCCTGCCTGTTCCTCTGCTCTTTCAAAACCTTCTCCAGGGACAAACCGATTCACACATTTGTTTACCCAAGTGGCCAGTACCAAGCTAGCTACTGGGGACTCTAAAGTGACCAAGACAGATACAGTCCCTGCTCCTATGGGACATAAAAAAATAGAGATTGTACCAATAATTATATCATTATGATTTCAATAAGAGCTATAAGTGAGTAGGACAGGATTAGAGGAGGAGCACAGAGTACAATGTCAAGGAAGGTGTCCCTAAGAAATGGGTGTTTAAACTGAGTTACAATTGTGCTGTTCCCCCACTCTCACCACTGCCTCCTCAAATCCCTGCATTTTCTAGCTCCAACTGGCCCAGCTGTGCCCAGCCCAAAGTAACACCACACAGTATTTTGAGGCCTCTGTCACAGCCCTTCACAGGAGGGGAGGTTGACCCACAATATGAGGGCCCCAGGTTCACCCCAAAGTCACCTTAGGTGGGCCCACAAGCAACAGCACTCTTGTTTGAATTCTAGATTATCTCTGAGACACTACCTCTTGACTTATACTTGTGATATGTCCCTTTTAACTTCCTGACCATCTGCATGCTCTTCCTTTACCACTTAAATGCCAACTTTTCAAGGCCAATGGCAGAGTGGGCAAGCCACTTACTTCTTTTAATAGGGCCTTGCTGATTCATTTACAAAGCAATCAGGTAGGGTGTCCCATTTCCTTCCACCAGCAGAATTCATGCATTGTTCATTTATTTGTTCAAAACACTGCCAGCCACTCTCCTAGGATCTGGGAATTAGAGCAGCAGGTAGATGAAACAATGTCCCTGTCCTCATGAAGCTTACATTCAACCTCTATTCAAGCCCATTAGACCTTCCGTGGACCCCTTACTTATTTGCCACACTGACACATTGCTGTAAAGGACATAGTTCCCAGCGTGGATCTGTGCTGCATGCACTCTGTGCCTCCTGGGAACTGAAACTGCATCTTTGTCATAGTAACAAAGTGCTTGCTGGGGTGCCCACAGAACTAGAGCTCAACCCATGTTGGATGCCTGAATGGATGCTATATTGTTGTGCAATCAGAATCCTGGAGTTGTTCATTTCTTCATCCTTTTGGCCCTAATATCTGTGATTCCTCCCACCAAAATCTGTTGCTCTTATAGTTTGGACTGGCTGTGCCACTTCTTTCTCTACTCTTTTAGTTCTTTCTTCTTTCTTTTTTTTTCTAAGAGAGAAGGAAAGGGAGAGAGAGAGATAGAAACATCAATATGAGAGGGAGACATCGATTGACTCCCTCCTGCAAACCCCTACTGGGGCTCAATTCTGCAGCATGGGTATTGTACCTTGGCCAGGAATTGAACCAGAAACCTTTTGGTGCATGGGAAAATGCCCAACCAACTGAGCCTCACTGGGCAGGGCTCCTTTCTCTACTCTTAATCCCCATCCTTCTCATTTCCCCCAAAATAAAGAACAAAAATGGAAGTCAGATTCTTGAGTTTCTCAGAAATTTGCTTAATACAAATTATTTCTTAAAATCTTTGAGCCTAAAAACAGTTATAATAGAGAAAATGTACATTTTGAGATGTAGTGAATTGCTCTACACCAAGCTATTAATGGAAACAAATGGTATGGGTCATCTGGAAGTGGATCTTATTTGAACTTTGGGATTTCAGACATGACTTTTCTTTGACATTACCAGTGATTTATCTTCCTCATTGAAGTTAAGCACCAGAGACTTTAGTGCTTACCTGATACAGTGGTTTTCAAACTTTCTCTGGTGGAACCCTAGAAGCAGAGTGACACTCCTAGGGACAGAGGCAGGGCATGGAAAGGTATAACCATCACAGTTCTGGGCCCTTGTCCCCTCTTTCAGTCAGAGCCACTGTAGTTCTTTCAGTTTGGTATATTGGAGGTGCTGGTACAATTTTGCTAGGTAAGAAGGTTTCCCTTTGAAAATCACTAGTCTAAGACAGCCATCTCATTTTCAAACTAAGATGTTGAGGATATGCCTTGGTCAGGTGGCTCAGTTGGTTAGATCATCGTCTCATACACCAAAAGGTTGTGGGTTTGGTTCCTGGTCAGGGCATATATCCAGGTTTTGGGTTCAATCCCAAGTTGGTGCGAGTATGGGAGGCAACTGATCACTATTTTCTCTCACATAGATGTTTCCCTCTCTCCCTTTCTCTCTCTCAAAATCAATAAGAAACATATCCTCAGGTGAGAATTAAAAAAAAAAGAAAGAAATAGAGGCCATAACTTTGGGGGAAGTGGGTGAAGGTCAGCCATTCTTTTTTTAGCCACAAACATTTTTTTGATATTTTAGTTTTCCAAGTACAGTTTACATACGATATTGAATTAGTTTCAGGTGTACAACATAGTGATTAGACATTTATATTTCTTAAAAAGTGATCATCCTGATAAGTCTAGTACCCACCTGTCACCACACATAGTCTGTTCTCTGTATCTATTAGTCTATTTCTGTATTGTTTGTTTGTTTATATTGTTCTTTAGATTCCACATAAAAGTGAAATCATATGGTATTTATCTTTTGCTGTCTGATTTATTTCACTTAGCATAGTAATACCCTCTAGACCCATTCATGTTGTCTCAAATGACAGGATTTCATTTCTTTTTATTGTGTCTGAGTAATATTCCATGTATATATGTACCACATCTTCTTTATCCATTTGTCTCTTGATGGACATTTAGGTTGCTTCCATGTCTTGGCTATCCTATATAATAAAGAGGTAATATGCAAATTGGCCATCATGCCCTCACACAAGATGGTCACCCCCATGTGGTCACAAGATGGCCGCCCCCATGTGGTCATAAGATGGCCACCACAAGATGGCCGTCATGGGAGGGCAGTTGTGGACAACCAGGCCAGCAGGGGAGGGCAGTTAGGGGTGACCAGGCCAGCAGGGGAGGGCAGTTGGGAGCGACTGGGTGGGCAGGGGAGGGCAGTTGGGGGCAATCAGGCTGGCAGGGGAATAGTTAGATGTTGATCAGGCTGGCAGGGGAGTGGTTAGGGGGTGATCAGGCTGGCAGGCAGAAACAGTTAGGGGTAATCAGGCAGACAGGCAGGTGAGTGGTTGGGAGCCAGCAGTCCTGGATTGTGAGAGAGATCGGGCCTAAACTGGCAGTCGGACATCCCCCAAGGGGTCCCAGATTGGAGAGGGTGCAGGCTGGGCTGAGGGACACCCCTCCCCCTGTGCTGAATTTCATGCACCAGGCCTCTAGTTATAAATAATGCTCAATGAACATTGGGGTGCATATATTCTTTTGAAACATTGGGGTCATAAGGAAGTTCCATTTTTAATTTTTTACAGACCCTCCATAATGTTTTCCACAGTGGCTGCACCAGTCTGCATTCTCACCAACAGTGCACAGGGGTTTCCTTTTCTTCACATCCTCACCAATGCTTGTTGTTTATTGATTTATTGATGATTGCTATTCTGACAGGTGTGAGGTGATAGCTCATTGTGGTTTTAATTTGCATTTCCTTGATAATTAGTGACATTGAGGATCTTTGCTTTTGTGTATTGGCCATCTGTGTTTCCTCTTTGGAGAAATGTCTATTCAGGTCCTCTGCCCATTTTTTTTAACTGGATTGTTTGTGTGTTTTTTGGTGTGAAGTTGTATAAGTTCCTTATAATTTTTGGATATTAACCCCTTTTCAGATGTATCATTGGCTAATATCGTCTCCCATCCAGTAGTTTGTCTTTTTATTTTGTTGATGGTTTCCTTTACTATATACGAACGTTTTATTTTTATGTAGTCCCATTTGTTTATCTTTTTCTTTTGTTTCTCTTGCCCAAGGAGACATATACAAAAAAATATATTGCTAAGAGTAATGTCAAAGAGTTTATTTTCTATGTTTTCTTCTGGGATTTTTATATTTCAGTCTTACATTTAAGTCTTCAATCCATTTTGAGTTTATTCTTATAAGAAAATGATTTTCATTCTTTTGCATGTATCTCTATCCAGTTTTCTCAACACCATTTATTGAAGAGACTGCCTTTACCTCATTGTATATTCTTATTTCTTTGTCATAGATTAATTGATAATATAGATGTGGATTTATTTCTGGGCTTTCTATTTTGTTCCATTTCTCTGTGTCTGTTTTTGTGCCTGTACCATGCTGTGTTGATTACTGTAACCTGTAGTATAATTTGAAATTAGATAGCGTGATACTTCCAACTATGTTCTTCTTTCCCAAGATTGTTTTGGCTATTCAGGATCTTTTGTGGTTCTATGTAAATTTTAGGAATATTTGTTCTAGTTCAGTGAAAAATGTCATTGGTATTTTGATAGTGATTACATTAAATCAGTAGCTTGCTTTAGGTAGTATGGACATTTTAACAATGTTAGCTCTTTCTGTTCATAAGCATGGTATATGCTTCCATTTATTTGTATCTTCTTTTCTTTCTTTCTTCATTATCTCATAATTTTCTGAGTATAGGTCTTTTACCTTCCTGGTTAAATTTATTCCTAGGCATTTTATTCTATTTGATGCAATTATAAATGGGATTGTTTTCTTAATTTCTACTTCTGATATTCATTATTTGTGTATTATTCATTATTTGAATATTAATCTTGTATCCTGCTATTTTACTGAATTTATTTATTAGTTTTAATAGGTTTTTCTGGGTATAATCTTTAGAGTTCTCTAGGTATGGTATCATATCATCTTTAAATAATGACAACTTAACTTCTTCCTTTATAATTTGTATGCCTTTTGTTTCTTTCTCTTGTCTGATTGCTGTGGCTAGGACTTCTAATACTATGTTGCATAAAAGTGGTGAAAATAAACATTCTTGTCTTGTTTCTGATCTTAAAGAGAAAGGTTTTGGCTTTTTATCATTGAGTATGATGTTATCTGTGAGTTTGTCATATATATCCCAGCCACAAACATTTAATTGTTCCTAAATATCTATATTTT